AACAATTACGAGCCGTTTTTTCCTGACACTGCACATACAAGTTTACAACACCTGGTATTCACAAGTACTCTCGACGCCGGTTTAGTACACCGCTTAAATAAAAAAAAAAAAGGTTAGGTACCATAACGAAGCGCTCATCGGAGCTATTACAGGTATTTATAGAAAAGACTCGGAGAGTCAACCTTACGGCGGTGGGCAAGTGACAGAAGCCGAGACGCCAGATCAGGACCAATAATATTGCTGATTCTTCTTTGGATTTTATCAAGGAGCTCAAGGTAAATAGGAGGGGCACCGGACCATATGTGGCAGCAATATTCTAAGCATGGACGAATCGTAGACTAATAGATATGTAAGATAGATTCTGGTAAACCAACTTTGTGAGAGTGCGTTTCCCTGTGTGCCCGCGTTTCAGATCAGTGCCCCCGCCTAACGTGGGTCCATTTAAAACGATCACTATTGGGAGAGTGACACCTGCTCTTACTCTCACGAACTATCAAAGAAGTCAATTAGCTTTCAAGAAAAGAAAAGCATATTAAAAAGGAATCACTTTATTGTTCTCACCTCTTTCACTCGCTCTTTCTCTCTCTACACACACACACACACACACACACACACACATATATATATTAAGGCGTGTATGCGTTCATTTAAGAAGAATATATGTCTAACGAAGAGATATAATCAAGATGGCTAATTTCGAAAGTCTTCGAGGCAAAAACATGCATGCAACCCTAACAATCAAATGTTGATTAAAATCCCTGCAATAAAAGAAAAAGGAACTCAGCCTGCAAAGACGCCACCTGCCGATCGAGGTGACAGCGAAGGAGACAGTTGATTGGACGAAACAAAGCACCTTTGCATTGTCAGACAATACGCATGCGTTGTAGCGCTTGTGGATCACACATTTACCCTCAGGAAATATTTGAGAAACTTTTAAATCGCCTAAACTGTTTATTGTTTGTGGATAATCCTGCGAACGAACGCATATGTGTGTGTGTGTGTGTGTGTGTGTGTGTGTGTGTGTGTGTGTGTGTGTGTGTGTGTGTGTATTGTAAGAATCTATCGACCTTTTATCGATTTGTCGTATTGGGTCTCATTTGATTTTAAAATCATTTTTATTTGAATCGGTCTTTGCCCTAGCGTATACTAGCTCACTGTGAACCATTTTGTTAAGGGACAAGCGCCGAATACACAGACTACTTTTATTAATAATATCGGGGTCTTCTCCTGACCTTATTATTATTATTATTATTATTATTATTATTATTATTATTATTATTATTATTATTCTGCTTTCCCTGACTAAATTCTTTCTTTTATTTTTCATTTATCTCTGTTTGGGCGTCTTCTTTTCCTATCCGCTAACCCACCTGCGACACATCGCTTCTCCCCTCGGGCTAGTGTCTAATGATGTTCAACATTTCTCTGTGGGTCGCCTTAGGTATATTATATTTGTTTCCAAATGTCTTAATGCCATTTACACAAACGTCTATTCATTTAGTAGTTTGGCATTTTCTTTCTTCTTCCTCTTTTTTCTTATTCTTCAATCGATTTTCTTTTTCTCTTCTTTCATTTTCTTTTTCTCTTCTTTCCCTGTTTTCATTCTTTCTTTCTTTCTTCCATTCTTTTCTCTTTCCATATTTTTCTATCAATATTCTTTTACTTTGCTTTTTTCCCCACCTTTTTTTATCTTTGTTCGATTTTCTCTTTTTATATTAGTTTTATTTTCATCGGCTGTTTCTTTCCTTCTTTTTTATTCTTTATTTGCTTTCGTTTTTTCTATCCTTCTATTTTCCCTTCTTTCCATTTTTAGATAATCGTTTTTTTTTTTTTTATTTCTTTTGTTTTTTTATTCTTTGTTTTTGCCTCTTTTTCTTTCCTTCTTCTATTTTCCTTCTTTTTTTCTTTCCATTTTCGTCTCTTTCGTTTTTTTCGCTTTTATTTCCTTCTTTTTTATTCTTTATTTGCCCTCCTTTTTCTTTCATTCTATTTTTCCTTCTTTTTTTCTTTCCATTTTCGTCTCTTTCGTTTTTTTCGCTTTTATTTCCTTCTTTTTTATTCTTTATTTGCTTTCGTCTTTCTTTCATTCTATTTTTCCTTCTTTCCATTTTTGTCTCTTTCGTTTTTTTCGCTTTTATTTCCTTCTTTTTTATTCTTTATTTGCTTTCGTTTTTCTTTCCTTCTATTTTCTCTTCTTTTTCTTTCTTTTTTCTTCTCCCTATTTTTATCTCTTTACATGTTTTCAATTTTCTTTCCTTCCTTTTTTATTCGTTCTTATTTTTCCTTCTTTTTTTATTTTCCTTTCTTTCTCTTTTCCCTTCTTTTTAGTTTTTATCTGTTTCGTTTTATTTTTTCCTTTTTTATTATTTATTCTTTCTTTTACCTTTCCGTTTTTTCTTCTTTTTTCTTTTCTCTTCTTTTTCTTTTTCCATTCCTGTTATTTCTTTATTCTTCATTCATCCATTTTTCTATTCTTCCTTTCTATGTCCCCCTTCGTTGATTTTTTTTCTTTTTCTTTTTCTCTTTTGTTTCAATTCTTTTCATTCGCTTCTCGTTTTTTCTTCTAATTTCTTTATTCTGCAATCGTTCTTTCGCTTTTCTTCTTCTCATTGAGCAGAGCCATAACTGTGGGGCACCCAATGAGGCTTCACCTCCCTACTAAATACTAATGGTAAACCAGACTAGCTCGCTAGCAATTATCCCGTCTAGAAGCGCATAGCACGTCGAATAAGTTGCAATAAAAAGCAAATAAAATTCAAGACGAAAAAAATAACATCAAAATAAATAAATAAATAATAATAATAATAAAAAATAATAAAAAAAAAAAAAAAATGTTCTTTGAACTAGTACAGTTGGACACCATACGAAGGACTTTATCTATATAAAAAAAGTTTTTAATGTAAAGGATATTTATTGGTCAGTGGAAATGTCACGATGCCATTTCATAACCTTAGGTCTCTGGGCGGGACCCAATGAAATTAAATTTTATGAAATAATTGGATAATAATAAGATATGAACAACACCCATCCAGTTAAATGATATAACCTGTAACAATTTTATGGGACTACAAATACAAACTGACAGAACAATCAAAAATGGACCAAAAAGATATTGTTAGTAAAGACCACAAACAAAAAAAAATATTTTATTGATATGGCAGTCCCTGCTGACTGCAATGTATCTTTGAAGATATTCAAAAAGCTGTCAAAATACAAGGACCTTGAAATAGAAATCTCAAAAATGTGGCATATAGGAACATCAACAATCCCTGTTGTAGTTGGAGTCCTAGGATTGGTTGGAAAAAAATTGCAGTAGACTAATTGAAGGGATTCCTTAAAAATTTGCCTCAAATGAGATACAAAAATTGTTCTGAAGAAGTACAGCCCACACTTTACGTAGGGCTTTATCCATGTATTTTTTTTATACAACAGAAATCAAAGGAAATAATAATAATAATTGCACGGTATTGGCACCCACTGAATATGAAACCCAGCATGATATAGTTGACCAATATCTGCACTGGAAAATCTGCAACTTCTACGGGAAGGAAACTGAAAGAAACTGGTATGAACACCACCCAGACCCGGTTACGGAGATAGGACCTGTTACAATTCTATGGGACTACACAATACACACTGACAGAACAATCAAAGCCAACCATTGAACATTGTTATTAAAGACCACAAACAAAAAAAATTTATTTCCTTATTGATATGGCAGTCCCTGCAGACTGCAATGTATCTTTTCCCGATATTCAAAAAGGCTGTCAAAATACAAGGACCTTCAAATAGAAATCTCAAAAATGTGGCATATGGGAACATCAACAATCCCTGTTGTAGTTGGAGCCCTAGGATTGGTTGGAAAAATTCCAGTAGACTAATTGAAGGGATTCCTGGAAGTCCATTCCTCAAAGAAATACAAAAAATTGTTCTTACGAGTACAACCCACACCTTACGAAGGGCTTTATCTATGTAAAATATGTTTTATTTATTTATTTTTTTTGTTTTGTTTGGTCAGTGGAAAATGTCATGATGCCATTTCTAACCTTAGGTCTCTAAGGACCCGGAAAGAAATGTGTACACACCAGAAATCAAAGGAAATGAAATAATAATAATAATAATAATAATAATGATAATAATAATAATAATGTGTTTTCCGTAGCAGGTATATTTTTCTTACTCCCAACAGGTTTTGAATTCAAAGCTATCCATCCCTAAACTGAACTTTCTGCCAAGTTTATCTTGCTGTTTAACCCATAGCTGCCGGGATAAGATAAAGATTCAAGTTTAGATATCTCGGAAGGGAGGGTAAAAGCTGACACCGAAATCCGAAGACGTATTAAAATAGATGCCTTCCAAAAGCTAAGCAAAGAAACCTGCTTTCCTCCCCCAGACCACGTTCTGTCATCAAACTGATCAAGTTCGTCAGGTATGTCACGCGCTGCTATCCCTTGTCTCTCTTTCTCTCTACTCGACCCGTGAGTATCAGATTCTCCAGGCCCTCCTTCCTCCTTACGTGTGCCAGAAACTTCAATTGCCTTTTTCTGATGTTAAGTATAAGGCTTCTACTTCTTTGTAACCTCTCTACGACTTCATTATTGCTCACAGGCTTCGGGAAACCACTCCACTATATAAACACGCAAAAAAGCAACGAGACAGGAAATACCCTTAATATATATATATATATATATATATATATATATATAAGTAGACACTGAGGTCAACAGAAAGTCACAACTGTTTCGTGCTTGAATGCAATCTTCGGGCCATGTGTGTTGTTTGGTGACTCGACTATTTATATTTGTTAGTCACAGAAGCATTATGGGTAGTTAAACCAGGTACTTCCGCTGTATTGTATTATCCTAACGCTTATTGGGTAGGCAGCCAAGCTAATTATAATTCCTATTATCGTCACACGGTGTGGGCCTCATTGTTCCCTTTTATATTCACATATTCTCTGTCCTTGATATGTAGCACTTTTATCCATGAATATATCTTCTTTTTATGTGCCATGTCCTTTCAGGACGTAAGCGATCATGGCTCTCCACCTCCTTCTATCCCTTGAAGCTCTCAGCAAGCTCCTTCCCTCTGCTTCTTCCCCAAGACCACATTCTGTCATCCACTTGCTCAAGCTCGCCAGGTATGTCACGCGCTGCTTTCCCTTGTCTCTCTTTCACTCTATTCGACCCGTGAGTATCAGATTCTCCAGGCCCTCCTTCCTCATTATATACCCCAGAAACTTCAGTTGCCTCTTTTTGATGTTAAGTATAAGCCTTCTCTTTGTAAACTAAGACCTCATCATTGCTCTCATGCTCAGTCCATCAGTTACCCAATATGCCAGAGAATGCTCGACAATTTCCTCACAGATGAAGAGAAGTGTGCTTCTATACTAAGAATACCATGGACAGAGCATGTAAGCAACGAAAAAGTTTTAAGGAAAATGGAAACAAAAAGGACACGTACATAGAATCGGAAAAGGACATTGAAATTTCAGCGACATTGAGAAAAGTAGGCCTGGAAAATTTGGCACTCAGAAGACGTATGAAGGCAAGAGCAGTAGCGGAAAGCAGCCAGTCAGCTATATAAGTAATTACTTAGTTAAATCCCGTGCTGGGCATGACGATAAACTACATCCGGTAGAAAAAGCCTCTGGTCGAGAGATTGGAGTTTTTGAGGAGCATGGAACCACCACTTGCTGTTGTTCTCAGGTCCACCCTGACCCGGGGTGGTAGCACCTGTTAGGGTCCCAGCTATGGGTAAATAGTTGACACCCAAACTGGGAAAAAAAGATGAAAACGATAAAAGTATAAAACATTTTATATTAAAAATAAGTTTTCATAGTAAAAAAAAATAATACAGCAATACATTTTTTTTAAATATTTAAAAAAAAAAATTTCCAGCAATATTGTAAGCAAAAAAAAAAAATTACTAGAAATACATTTTTGTAAAAGAAATTATTAATGATCTCAATAAAATTAAATTTCGGCATTAAATGACCCATAAAGGTGTTGATATACTGCTAAACAAACTTAGTTAAATCCAATTTAAAATTGCAGTGCATAATTTTAAGAAGGACTGATTCCTCTTTGGGGATTTTATTTTAATGACAAAACTTTAAATAATCTCAACCCTTTTTTATTTTGCAGTTAAAGCGATCTTTAAATTAAACCTGCTAATAAAACCTAGCAGAAAATTAACCGTCTTGAAAACTAATCATAATATATCGTAAAATTAAAGTGTTTGTTTAATTACCATCGACCAGTATTAGTGAATGGGTGTGACTTCGAGACCCCCCTCTCGTGCAAATATAAGACACGCCTCTCTTTTTGAGTGCTAATATATATATATATATATATATATATATATATATATATATATATATATATATATATATATTGAATAATAAAAATATTAAAAATTAAAATCTTCAGACACACTGGGTTGTATATTAAAATACTTTTCTGCTTGCTGGTAGCTATGAACTACAGAAATGAATGCCTTGCTGGAGAAAATGAACTTTTGTCTGTAGTTTTCATTTGTTTTTATTTTTTTATCGTGAATTTTGGTCAGTCTTTGTGTTGGTCAAACAGTCTCTTTTAAGTTGTTATTTGAGATAAGAGCTGAATGGATTCATGCTGCTCTGAATTCCCTTGGTCATTTTGACAGTTGCATTGGTTCCTGGAAAAGGGATGTGTCTCTTTTAAGTGTGTGTGTGTTATTTGGTTCTTAGGGAGTGAATGAGTATGATATGTGTAAGCGTGCATATTGCTGTGGGTGGGTGTTATCATTTGGTTCATTAGAGAGTGAGTGAGTATGATGCGTGTAAGTGTGTATATTCGTGGCTATGTGTGTATAAATGAAACTCACATCAAAAACCCTCATAAACATGTCTGTTTTTTGTTCTGGAAAAATATGTGGGTAAATTTTGATTTGTTGAGATATATATTGGTACTATCTATATTGTTAAATTTATGGTTAAGCCAAAATGGATATTGCGTTTTTTAAACGTTTTATCCACTTATTTTCATGGAACTCTAAAATCTTTCTAATGTTATCTACTCTCTCTCTCTCTCTCTCTCTCTCTCTATATATATATATATATATATATATATATATATCTGTCAAACGGTTCTTACCCACGCGTGCACATCTTACACATTTACAAATCTACAATTCGTCCGTGCATTGAATACTGTTGATATATCTGGTCTGGTGCTTCTGTTGTACATCTCGAGATTCTTGACAAAATAGAAGAATCTGCAGTATAATAGATCTTGACCTAGCATCTCGGTTTCAGTTACTTTCTCACAGACATGAAGTGGCTTCTCTTTGTATTTTCTACAAATATTTTCATGGCGACTACTCTGACGAGCTTTTTTCCGTGGTACCCCGAATAAATGAATTTAAGCATGCTACTAAATTGGCATCTAGGTCCCACCCTTTTACTGTTGAAATAATTAAATGCAACCGTCACTTCTACTCTAACATTTTATTTTCTGG